AACTTCTTTTGTCTGTTATTGATTACCTACCTTTCATTCATTATTTTTTAAATTAAAAAATCCTATGCTTAATAAAATATATTTTAAGACATACCAGTACTCAGAAAATATATTAGCCTATGTACAACTTTCTGAAAATCTCTTGAGGAAGCATTCCATCAAAATAAATAGGAATTCGAGTCAATAAAGGTAAAGATGTGGTATATATGTAAATGGTGACAATAAAGCCAGTAAAACTTGTTAAGTTTAAATAATCATTGATAACACGGTTGTAACTGTTACCAAATCAGTCATCCAGAAATAAACTTCCACAGTATTTCAACAAAATCTGGAAGAAGGCAGGGGAATAAAAGCTTTTGAAAGGTCTCATCTTATTTGGGTAGTGAAAGGTGAAGATACTGTTACAATTTTAAATATCCAAGGAAATACAGGTTCACATATGTTTGTTAGAAATCTGCGTTAAGTACTAGTAGAATCAGAATGCAGAACCTCTAATGTATCTGACAGGAATAAGAGAAACAAATTAGAGCTAGGAGCTAGTTCTGATTCAGGGGAGCTAGGGAACCCCTCCAATTCCACAACACACAGAGTCCCCTGTGTGAAGAGCATTCTGTTGATCTGTGGTGTTGTGGGAATCAGTGAGGGAACAGGCAGAAGGATAGCATTACCTTTCCCTAGCCACACACAGAAGCTTAGGTACCCGAATTTCCTTAACTGAGACAGTGACATTTAACATAGGCTGGTTTGAGCATTAGAGTAACAGTTACTTTAGAGCAAAATCAACTCTGGACATTGTAGATGGCTTTGAAAGGGTAACTATATACTAGTAACTGTCTGCTTAAGGAAAACAAGTAACAATCAAAGGAAAGAGTGGAAGAGCATCTCAAGACAACTAGAAGGTTATTTTTCACAAATAATTGCTCTAAATTATCTCATTACCCATGACCTTTCTATAAAGCATGTTATTAACATTTATGTTAATATCCATAAGTGCAAAGTTATCTTGCTTTCTAAAACTAAAACTTCCTACATCAAATTGGCTATCTCTGGGTCTGAGCTTGGTAATGTTTGGAGAAAACTTTCCTTGGGATACTGTTAAGGTGATGGCAGTGCTACCCAGTGATACCCATCCTTGACTTAGGTTAGGAAGTTACAGGCCACAGACTCTCAAGAGACTCTTGGGTTTTTAAAATTTTTACGTGTAATTTTTCAAACATAAACAAAATTTTTATGTTGCCTGGATTATGTATGAATCCCACTCATACTTCACATAACTTCAACTGTCAACAACACATGGCCAAAGTCATTTCACCTATACTCCATTTCCCACTTGCCTGGATTAAAGAAAAACCTCAGATATGTCATTTCATTTTCAAGTAGTTTGTTGTATCATTACTTGATTCTTTAAAGAAGCTTACTTTTTCTTGAGAAGCTCTGAAATAGCCAAATAATACCCCCTTCAAAATCATAAAGAACAGGAGACAGTCATATGGATTAAAAGTACAGAAATGGTTAGACTCATAATACCAGTATTGTGTGGCTACAGTAGTAATGAAGACGGGGAAATACTCTTAGTTCATTCAAATAAGAGTGAATTTGCTGGTTAGAAAAGAAAATTACATTTTCTGCCATTTTCATTTCTCAAAATAAATCTCTCAACACTCATTCATTATTCTGTCGCTTTTCTGTGTTCAGCTATTTATGACCGCTTCAAAACTGTAATAAATATTTATACAAAATACTGTGTCATTTCATTCACAAATGAACAGATATGGCTGTCTTGATGTCAACTATAATAACAGTGACACAAAAACAGTTGCCTTTCAACATTAATTCATGATAGAACTCTCAGCAAACTATAAATAGGGGAAACTTCCTTAATACAATACGGAGCATTTCCAAAAAGCTAATATCATTCTTAATGGTGAAAGATGGAATGCTTTCTCCCTAAAATCAGAAACAAGGCAAGGATGTCCACTCTCACCAATCTTATTCAACATATCAATAGCAATGGAAATTCTACCTAGAAGAAGAAAAAGAAAAAAAAAGGGCACAGATTGGAAAGGAAGAAATAAAACTGTCCCTCTTTGCAAATGACATGATTTTGTATGTAGAAGATCCCACAGAATCTAAAAAAACCCTCCTGGAACTAATAAGTGAGTTCAGCAAGGGTGCAGTATACAAGATCATCAAACAAAAATCAATTGTATTTCAATACACTAAAAACAAACATGTGGAAACTAAACTTAAAAACACAATAACATTTATAATCACATCAAAGAAAGTAAAATACTTAGGCATACACTTAACAAAACATGTACAGGATCTCTACGATGAACATAAGTGTTAGGTGGAGGAGATGGTAGATAGCTTGCATGGTTGGGAACAGGTAACAGTGAACAAATAGGTAACTATACTGAGGAAAATGGGAGTTTGAGAAGATGTCTACAAACAGAAAAGATTAGAAGGAACCCTTGAAATGTTGTGTTGGATTAGAAATGGAAGTAATGATATGAATTCATTGTTATATAATATATATAAAATAGTTTTAGGTATGTATATACAAATATATGTGTTGTATACACATATATTTAGGTATGTATATTTGTGTGTACAAATATATGTGTTATATACACATATACACATATACAAATATATGTATATATGTGTTGTGTATGTGTGATACATTACCTGTATTTCTTAGTTCTGTCCATTGAGAAAACCTAGAAGAAATAACAGCCCAGTAGCAATGAGCACACTGAGCACCCAGAACTGGGTTTTAAAATACCATCCTCTACTCAAAGGAACCAGGGCTCCTTGAAGAAAGAGATCAGATTCTAGACTTAGGGCAAGGGAGGTAAAAGATGCACCTGGAATATCTTGTTTTGCCAGAGCACATGTCAAAAAGATAAAGGAGCCAGTCTGAAGGAGCTCCTACTGCCCTCACTGGGAACAATTTTAACATTAAAAGAAACGATATTATTTATTGAATAAAATACAAATACACAGATCTATACTGATAAATGAGATAAGGGAAAGATCTTCCTTAGAGTAGAATGCCAACCAAAAAATGCAGGGGTGTTGGAAACAGAATCACTCTTTGACACCTATCAAATAGATGCTTGATTCAGGCAGGAGCTATCAATGGACTCTAAGGCTGGTAGGTAGAAATTTGATATGGAAAAGTCTATTAAAGTAATATCAGAATACCCCTCCACAAAGTACTAATCAATGACAAAGGGGGAAATAGTGAATTTAAGGTGGGGAAACCTAGTAGTCATCAAGATGACCAGATGATCAAGGTTATCACCAGGGTGGCAGGACAGGTCAACATCACGTGCTTACTGATTTGATGTACTGAGAGGCCACAGCATTGGTTCCACTAAATTCCATGTAGTGGAGTTTCTGCAAAGAATGTGTAGCCTGAGCTGGGTAAGGAAGAAACAGGATTATCCTACAGAATGTAAGGCCTGTATTCTTTAAAACTGATAAGGACATGAAAAGGAACTATTCCAGATTGGAGAAGATGTGACAGTAGGTATTCCTCGACAGACTTCTGGGTCAGAAAGAAAGAAGCCATTGTTGGGACAGTTGGCAAAATTTGAACAGGGTGGTACTGTTGTATTGAAGCTGATCATCTGCTTTGGAGAGTTGTACATATGTTATGTAGGAGCATGTTTTACTCTTTGGAAAATGTGTTGACAGAGAGAATACAAAATTAAATGTTATAAATCTCAGAAAGATCCTTTTTGACCCACCTCCTAGAGAAATGGAAATAGAAACAAAAATAAACAAATGGGATGTAATGAAACTTAAAAGCTTTTGCACAGCAAAGGAAACCATAAACATGATGCAAAGACAACCCTCAGAATGGGAGAAAATATTTCCAAATGAAGCACTGACAAAGGATTAATCTCCAAAATTTACAAGCAGCTCATGCAGCTCAATATCAAAAAAACAAACATCCTAATCCCAAAATGGGCAGAAGACCTAAATAGACATTTCTCCAGAGAAGATATACAGATAGCCAACAAACACATGAAAGAATGCTCAACATCATTAATCATTACAGAAATGCAAATCAAAACTATAATGAGATATCACCTCACACCAGTCAGAATGGCCATCATCAAAAAATCTACAAATGATAAATGCTGGAGAAAAGGGAACCCTCTTGCACTGTTGGTGGGAATGTAAATTGATACAGCCACTATGGAGAACAGTATGGAGGTTCCTTAAAAAACTAAAAATAGAACTACCATATGACCCAGCAATCCCACTACTGGGCATATAACCTGAGAAAATCATAATTCAAAAGGAGTCATGTACCACAATGTTCACTGCATCTCTATATACAACAGCCAGGACATGGAAGCAACCTAAGTGTCCATCGACAGAAAAATGGATAAAGAATATGTGGCATGTATATACAATGGAATATTACTCAGCCATAAAAAGATATGAAATTGAGTTATTTGTAGTGAGGTGGATGGACCTAGAGTCTGTCATACAGAGTGAAGTAAGCCAGAAAGAGAAAAACAAATACTGTATGCTAACCCATATATATGGAATCTAAAAAAAAAAATAGGTCATGAAGAACCTAGGGGTAGGATGGGAATAAAGACGCAGACCTACAAGAGAATGGACTAGAGGACAAGGGGAGGGGGAAGGGTAAGCTGTGACAAAGTGAGAGAGTGGCATGGACATATATACACTACCAAATGTAAAACCGATAGCTAGTGGGAAGCAGCCGCATAGCACAGGGAGATCAGCTTGGTACTTTGTGACCACCTAGAGGGGTGGGATAGGGAGTGTGGAAGGGAGGGAGACGCAAGAGGGAAGAGATATGGGGATATATGTATATGTATAGCTGATTCACTTTGTTATAAAGCAGAAACTAACACACCATTGTAAAGCAATTATACTCCAATAAGGATGTTAAAAAAAATTAAACGTTAATATTTAATAGTAATAATAAAACATATAAAACAAATACTCACCAATGACTTTAACAAAATAAGCATCTGCTTCAAAGTTATTTTTTAGTGTATGGATGGCAAAATCATTCTTTGTATATCCTTTACTTAGTACTACAATGTCCAAGATTCCCTGGAAAAAACATAAAAATGGTAAGAACTACTAGACTGAATGAAAAAAATGATGAAAATGCATGATATGTTTACCATGTAAATATAAACCTTATTTATTCAACTTGATGTTTAAAATAAAAATATTAAAAATATAAAAACTTGAATATTAAAATATAAATAAAATGAAAAACACCTATAATTTTAATCCCTGAAAATAACTGTTAGCATTTTGTACTTCCTTCCAGTCATATCTGCATGAATTTTTAAAGGTCTGTGATATGGAGTACCGAAGTGTTTCCAATCATCAGAGAAAGAAGGTACCTTTTCATCTGCCCTGGCCCCCATTATTTTTTTTTCCTAAAAAAGTGGGAAGCTTTGCTAATTTTATTGGGGGTAAAAAAGGTGTGTTCATTAAAATTTCCATTCTGCTGACTCTTAATGAGGTTCATCATTTATCATATCTTTTCATATGTTAGCTACTTGTGTTTTTTCTGTAAATTGCCTTAATCATGTTCTGTTTTTCCAGTGGGAGTTTCTGGTGACTTGTATCAGTTTGAACAAACCTTTCTACGTTAAGAATATTAATTATTTAATTCTTTCATAGCTAATTTTTTTCCCAGATTTAAACACAATTTTAAATTTCATTTATGATATTTTTATGTACAGAAATTAATTGATTTGTAGTTAATTCTCTTGATTTTCCCTCTTGCGATATTTTTACCAATTACTTTCATGCTTGGAAATTGCTTATGAAAAGTGAACGAACACAAGATTTGGTAGCAGAGAGACAGAGGAAAATAAGGACTTGGATAATTCATATAATTGAGAATTAGCCTCTTATAAAAAAAAAAAAACAAACCAACCAACCGGGCTTAGGGTTGGACATAATGTCTTGATGGAGATTTAACGTTTTAAAATAATCAAATTGTTTTACAAGGATATACTGTGACATATTAACTCTGGAATTTAACACATTTTTTTCAGAATTTATTATTTTTCTGAGTGATAAACTGGCTTACTTTTAAAGAACAAAACAGCTTGGGAGATTCTATTTTCCCTCAACAATGCCCAGAAGCACTTGATAAACTGGTTTTTGACATTAGAAAGAAGAAAACCAGGGCCCTGAGCGCCTTTCCCAGGCCACCTGGCAACTGAAGACAGTCACAAGAATCTGTAGCAATAGATGCCAACTCTAGTTCATTAGGTTAAGAGAGAGTACACACTGAACCCATTCTTCTGTGATCTTGTGCGGGTTTAAGGGTCTGTTATCTGTTGGCTGTTCTTTTCTCTACTCGTGCACATGCACAATTGCTGTGAGCATGATTCTCTAGTGGTTTAATCTGAACAAGCATAAAATGAGATAAAAGCATTTTCGTATTTCACTGTACTAATCAGTCAGTGGTGTCAATAAATGTGTTCCCTCTGTCATTTAACATTAAAAGGAGCTTTCTTTAATTAACTCATTTGCTTTCATAATCTCATCTACATTTTCTGGTCAAACAGGGTGAAAGTGGATGGCAATTAGATTCCAAACACACAGAAGAGCTCTGAACTCACATCTTCGTAAATATCAAAGAAGGTGGCAACCACTGCATCTCTGATTTGGTTTAGGTCCATCAGCTCCCAGTAGACTTTAAACATACGACGCGCCCCCTCACAGCTTGCATTATTACAAGGGACATTCTCCAGTAAAAAGGCCTGCTGATTGCTGTGAGACAAAGGCAATGGCATTTAGTCAATATAACATATCAATGCTGAGTAGCATCAGCTATGCTGTATTTTACTAGAATCAAAGAGATGGTAAATGGTATACACTTAAGTAATATGAAAAAAATCCCTACATCGTACTAATTATTGTCCTGAGTCATAAAAAACTTAAATTGTTGGCTATTGTTTTTCAGCCTTTGGCAAAAATCCTGAGGTTAGTCAGTTGTTGGCCTCTCTCTCCTCTTTCGTGATTTCCAAGTCCATCTCTCCGCCCTTCCTTGCTGCTCCACAGCCATCGACCCTGTGTTTCATTACTGAGTTCCTGGACACTGTCATCATCCCTTTAGATTTGTATAACTCCTTAGGTAAAAACCTGCATTTTAAATAGAGATTCCTGACATCCCCAAGTCTTGTAAACCCAAAGCAGTAAATCTACAATGATACAATTTGAGCTTCCCAAACGGACAGTAGAGTAGATATTGCTGAGTACCTCTCAGATAAAAGATAGAAAAAAAAAAGTGTTGTACTTTGCATAGCTATGAAGTCCTCCCTTTTGAATCCTACTCTATAGGCAAAGTGGTGATGAGTTTAGATTTTGGAACCAGATTACCTGGATTTAAATTCTGGCTCTGTCATTTAGCAGCTACGTGACCTTAAACAAGTTATTTAACCTCCTGAAGACTCAGATCCTTATTTGTAAACTGAGTAACATGAGTACTTAAAGAACTGTTGTAAAAAAGAAATGAAATACCGAGTGCAAAATACTTAGAACAATTCCTGTCATTCACTTAGATCTTCGTAAAAGTGTTTGTATTATCATCACTCTTACTTATGTAGTGCAACACCATGCCATGTAAAAATATTTTCTTTAAATACAGAAGTAACTTTTGTAAATGGTGTGATTTGATGTAATGGCTCCTATTTATAGGCATTTTCTAATATTTACATTCCTTCAGGTCCCTCTATGTTACATAGAAAATAATAAGCTAAAAAGCTTAAATTTTATTACTGCTCAATTTTCTCTAATAATTATTTTAAATAAAACTAAAGACAGATTTCTTTTTTTCCATATGAAAATATTACTTTGGATATTACTTTGGGTCTGGGCAATTTGGAAAAGAAAAAAGTTCTATTATAAGAAAGGTAAATTTTTCAGTGTTCAATAGAGTAAGGAAACATGCAAAATATTCAATTTACTTGATGTACTTGACATATGATTAGCTTCACATTATTTTTCTAGATAAAAAATTCCAACAGAAATAGTTTAAACTCCCAGATTATAACATTTACATGGAAAACTTTGAGGTGGCTTTGATCAAGGCCTAACATATAATAGTGTTATTCCACTAGAAGGAATAATGATTTCTTCTTTGTCTCCTGTCTAATAACTGATTTTAAAATTCTAATTTGTAATACTTTTTCCAGGTAATTTACCCATCCTACCTTTGTAGCTAAACAATTTTACTAGATATTTCACAGAAATGAAGAACACTCTATTTTGTTATTAGATTATACTAAAACATGAGAACCAGTGATAAAGGTGGCCTTTCTTTTTTTTTTTGGCTATGCCATGCAGCTTGTGAGATCTTAGTTCCCTGACGAGGGATCAAACCTGGGCCCACAGCGGTGAAAGCACTGAGTCTTAACCACTGGACCGCCAGGGAATTCCCAAGGCAGCCCTCTATAATCTTTTATAACCAATGCATCACACTGGCGACGTTTTGAGTGATAATCTGCCACTGGTTTCCCTTTTCACAACAGGGATGAAAGGATTTCATTATTGTATTATAACTCTGGGCACAATTTCAAATACACAACATAAGCTACAACAAAAACTCTAACTGCAGTTGCATAATTTGTCATTTTAATTTTTGATATGAGTTTGTAAAGATTATAAATGCCATGCACCATGGTTTTTGTCTGAATTCTCACTAAACAGGTTAGTCTTATACTCTGGAACATGGGGTCTATAAAATTTCAGTTCTTTTAAACTCCACTGAGCCCTACAGGTAGAGCCCAACAATCTTAACTATAAAAAAAAAATTCCATTTAAACCCAGGAAGAAAGAATTCTGATTCATTCAGTTTGGAAACCCTTGGGGAGAAACAGTCTTGCTTCTTTTGAGTCAACTGCTCTATGTGTTTTTGGCAATTACAACCGATATAACTTTTAAAAAACATTTTTTTTCAAAACTATTGCAAAAGTTATTATAAAATTCAAGTAATAGAGACATTTAAAAAGTTGAACTCCTCCTTTCCAGGGAAAATCACTGTTAACAACTTGGTGTGCATCTTTCTAAACCTTCTTCTGGGAACATACAAATATTTAAGTATATATATCCTTCAAAAAAAACCACAAAACAAACCCAGTTGGGTTCTACTATACATATTATTCTGCAACTTTTTTCTTTCCACTCAATAACATAGCATACACATGGGGAAAAGGGATACAACCTGAATGAGGACTTCTGAAATCTATTTTGAAAATTCCCACCAGAGAAGTTGTACCAATTTATATCCCCCAGCAGCAGCCCATCAAACTGCCTGTTTCCCACATGCCCATTCCTTTCAATGCTTACTCCATTATACAGCTATGCCATCATTCGTTTTAACACCCTGCTATTGATAATCAGGTTGTCTTCAATTGTTCCCCATTACACGCACACACACACACACACACGTAATTTTTCCTTGAGAATTTGTATAAGGATTTCCAAATGAAGTCATCTGGTCAAAGGATATGCGTATTTTAAATGTGAATAAGGTAAAGCTAAATGGCCGTCTAAAAAAATGTACCAATTTATACCTCTAGTATATCCTTCTTCATATCTTGCCAATATTAGTAACACTGCTTCTTATTTTTGCCAATTGGGTAGCTTAAAAATTATCTCATTCTCCTGATTATATGAGAGAAGCTGAGTATTACTTTTATGTTTATTATCTATTCATATTTCTTCTAAGAATTGGCACTTAAATTTTTTCAATTATTGGTTTTTAGATCTCTGATTGTTAAGGACATTAGCCCCTACCTGTTATTCTCATATTCTTATTTGCAAAATGTGTGTAAAAACAGTACAGAAATAGATACACAGATGTAGAGAACAAACTTATGGATACCAAGCAGGGGGAAGGGAGTGGGTGGGATGAACTGGGAGATTGGGATTGACATATATACACTACTATGTATAAAATAGATAACTAATGAGAATCTACTGTATAGCCCAGGGAACTCTACTCAATGCTCTGTGGTGACCTAAACGGGAAGGAAATAAAAAAAAGAGGGGATATATGTATATGTATAACTGATTCTCTTTTGCTGTACAGCAGAAACTAACACAACATTGTAAAGCAACTATACTCCAATAAAAATTAAAAAAAAAAAACCCAACGGTACATTACCTCAAATAGCTGTTTTAAGGATTAAATGAGAAAATACATGGTAAATGGTTTAATGTAGTGCCCAGTACATAGCACAACACACTTTCAATATCTGCTGTTATTATTATATGTGCTGTTATTATTACTCTGATATGTTATAAACATTTCACCCCAGCCTTTTATTGTTTTTAAAATGTATGCTTTCTTTCACTAAAAGGTTAATAATACTTATATACTCATTTATGTCAGTATTTTTCTCATGCTCTATAAGAAATGTTAAAGGAAGTCCATCAGGCAGATGGAAATAACACCAGATGGAGTATCTGCACTTACACGAAGGAATGAAGATCAGTGAAAATGTGAAATACGTAGGCAAACAGAAAAGATTTTCTTGTTATTTAAACCTCTTTAAAGATAACTGATAATTAAATAACACAGCATGGTGTTAATGACATAAGCAGATGTAAAATGTAAGGTTTCCTCAAAAAACTAAAATTTGAACTACCATATAATACAGCAATCCCACTTTTGGGTACATATTGAAAAGAAGTGAAACCAAGATCTCAAAGAGGTATCTGAACTCTCATGTTTGTTGCAGCAATATTCACAATAGTCAAGATATGGAAACAATCTAAGTGTCCATCAATGGAAGAATGAAAATGTGGTATATACATACACTGGAATATTCAGCCTTAAAAAAAGAAGAAAATCCTACCATTTGTGTCAACATGGATGAACCTAGAGGACATTATGCTAAGTGAAGTAAATCAGAAACAGAAAGACAAATACTGTATGGTATCACTTGTATGTGGAATATAAAAACACTGAACTTATAGAATCAGAGAGTGGAATGGTGGTTGCCAGTGGCTGAGGGGTGGGGGAAATGAGGAGATGTCGGTCAAAGGACATGAACTTTCAGTTATAAGATGATTAAGTTAAGGGGATCAAATGTACAGCATGATGACTATAGTTAACAATACTGCACTTTATACTTGAAAGCTGCTGTGAGAGTAGGGCTTTAATGTTTTTAACTATAACAATAAGAACAAGAAAATGGTAATTATGTGAGATAAAGGATATTAACTACCTTAATGTAGTAAACATTTTGCAATATATACATATATCAAATAATACTGTATACTTTAAACTTACACAATGTCACTATATGTCAATTATATCTCAGAAAGCTGGAAAAAAAAAGGAAAAAATAAATCAATAAAAGATATCTGGAAAATCTCCAAATATTTAGAAATTAAACACCACTAAATAATCTACGAGCAAAAGAAGAAATCAGGCGGCCCCTCAGCGCATGAGGAGCACGTGCCTTTGGGAATTTTCCATGCGCTATCTCTGTTCACCCGGCTACCTGGGCTTGGGGCTCGCCCTGGTCTCTGCTTAGAGTGCCCGGCAGGAGCTGCAGGCTTTGATCACCCATTGCTGTGTCTGTGCCCCAGTAGCCGCAACTGCCCCGGGGGCTGTTCTGGAAGAGATCTGAGAGCTGGGTGGCCTGGGTCGTGAGAGCCCCGCACCTCTCGCATCGTGGTGAAGAAGAACAGTATTCCCAATGGAATAAAATGTCACATCCAGTCCTCCAGACAGTGCTGTGAAAGACTATTTTTGTCAA